ATTCACAAGGACCTTGGTTTAACTACTGTGTTTGCCATTAACCGGCATTTTGTCCTTAGAGAAAATATTTTAAAAGAGTAAGTTTTCTTTGCTAAATAGGAATACTAGTAATAATTATTCCATGTTTGCTGCTGTTGTTAGGTGCCATCAAGTTGCACCCAACAACCTATCAAGTTGGTACCTATCTATGCACTGATCAAGTTGTTATGCACCAATCAAGTTGATTGCTATGCACCGATCAAGTTGATTGTTATGCACCGATCAAGTTGGTTCCCACTCAGAGCAATATTATGTGCGACAGACATAAACACGGCCTGATCCTATGGGACCTTCACAATCGTCATGCTTGAGCCGTGTTGCAGTCACTGTGGCACTCCATCCCCTGCGGGGTCCAATCATTTCACTCCATTACATCCTTTGTTCCTGCCTTTCCTCTTATACAATCCAGCTTTCTGAGCTGGTAAGGTTTTGAGATGGCATGTGCTACTCACTTAGAAAGGTGTTCAGCACATTGAAAACCTATTCGCAGATATTATTATTATGTGATCATAAATAATAAAGGCAACCCTCAATGAAGGCAGTCCGATGTAGTAGTCACAAAAATGGATTCAAGGATATCAGCAATCATGAGGGTAAAGAACCAGCCAATGCTTAATTCCATTATGCAGAAGGTCGCAATGAGTTGGGGCTGACTTTTCAGCAGCTAACAACAACATGCTTAGTTATGATATTGTATCCTAACACAAGTTTAATTCAGCCCAGGAATTCCCCCGACAACAGCTTATCCAATCTCTGCTTGGTTACATGATGAAGCCATGGCCTCAACACTTAGTAACACAAAGTTGATGGTGGCGGCGGTACACTCAAGTCATTTTCTACCCTGTGACAAAGCAGAACTGCTCCATGGAGCTTTCTAGGCTGTGATCATTACAGGGGTCAAGCCTTTCATTACACATTGCCAAGTCTTCCTGCTGCAGTCTCTGCATGGTTCCAACTGACAACTTTTCAGTCAGCAAGCAAACCATGGGTTCCAATAAATGCACAGCTCCAAGGATGAAATGAAGAAACACAAACATGGGTGTGGTGACTGACAGCACTGATAGGAAGTACCTTGCCAACCACACTGACCAGAGGCTGCTGTGATGCACTATCGGACTGCAAAAAAGAATGGAAGAATAATGCCAAATCTGTGATGACATCCTCTTGAGAACTGCGGGCGGAAGTGAAATTCTAATGTCAGGATGTAGTCATCTGTGGAAATCTAACACTCAAAGCCTCCTAGAATAAAACCAAATGATACTATTAATGTTATATGGTGTCTAAAATGATAGGCTCAACACTGGCTCAATGGAGACTGACAGAAAGCAAGTGCCAAAGAAAGCCTAATTTCTTCTGCCTTAAATCATTTGTCATCAATAGTATTCAAAGATAATCAACTTTCCTATGAGTTAGTCTTGAACCTCTTGCAATCTAACACCTGCTCCTACCACTTAAACACAATCTACTCTTAACATCCTATGATAACCAAACACCAAATCTAAACACTTGTAGTAGACTGCCTTTTCTTCTTAGGACAAACATTGCATCTTGATCCATTTTAAAGCAGCTCCTTTGACTTTCAAACATTGCGGTATTCTGGTTCTATTTTTGCGTGCTCTGTACTGTTTCCCTACAGCAGGGGTTTTGAAAAGGTTGTTGCTTTCGTCGCTCTTTCACCCATCATCTGAGCTTCTCCTGACCATTCCATTCTCACTTTGTGACAGCTTGGCTATGTGAGGGCTACCTGCTTTGTTGTTGTTGTTGTTGTTGTTCTTACCTCCTATTTTGACCCTGCCTGAGAATTCTAGTCATGCGATCTCAACTATTTTTGCTGAACTATTCCAATGCAATGTCTCACCAAGATCATGAGTTCAACACAACCCAAATTGAACTGAATCATTTATCCTTCTCCCTTTCTCCTAACCAATGTCACAAAGCATAAAATGTGAAATGAACCCAATCTCTATCTTCTTTCTCAACTTCTGTGCAACCTAATTAGCTCCAAGCACTGTTGAATTTTCACTGCGATGTCTTTCTTTTCATTCTCTGACCACACTTCTAACTAGTAAGAAGAGCCTAGTTAGAAGAGCAGAAGAGGGAACACGAGAAGAGTGAGCACAGTGTTTGAGGGACACTGACAGGCCAGTGTGGTTGGGGTCCACTGGGCGATGAAGAAGACTCGTTGGTGAGAGATGAGGCTCTGAAGGGGAGTAAAGGCCAAATCATGACGGTTCCTGGAGGCCAAGGAAAGCAGTTTGGATTTCATCATAAGGCTTTAAAACGGAGAGTAATGTGATCAGATTTACACTGCAAAATGATCTCGCTGGTTGCTGTGTACAGAATGCATTATCCAGGGTCAGGGGTGGAAGTTGGAAGATCAATCAGGAGACCGGTGCAGAAGTCAAGAACATAAGGTGGCAGTAGCATGAATTCAGTAGTGCTAAAAGAGGAAGAGAGAAGTGGATAGCTTTGCAGTCTTCTAAGCATTAAGCACAGGATCTTGCACGTGATAGGTTTTCAATGTACACTGCTAAATATGTGTCTGAGTGTTTCAAAGTAATTTCACATTCTTAGTCTCTATATTACTTTCAAGTTACATATTATGTCTTAGCCTACTCTAGTTTGATACACAAGACAAAGAGAAGAAAGAAAGATCAACTCAAGAGAAGTCATGTAACAAAGAACTGGGATTAAACAGGTTGAAGCGTCATGATGTTCAGTGAGTTGCTGGGTTAAACAAATCCCCAGAAAAAAAGGTGGTTCAAAAATGCACTTCACAATCAAAGATGATAGAATAAAATGGAAAGATTATTCAAATGCAATCACCTACATGTTAAAGTAGAGAACATCCAGCCAGCATAAGCTGGAATAGCGTGTCTGAACAGAAGATGCAGATGAAATATTCCTTAAGCTGAAGACTTTTCCAGTTCTGAAAAACTTTTAATTTTTCTGGAAATATAAAACCTTCATTACCACCTTGACTACTACAAAGACCTTATTCTACTGAGATGATACAGTTTCTAAGCGTCTAATACCGTCCTACTATATACACAGCATTGTTGGTATTGTTTATAGATTTCTGCTTTGTTTCTAAATTAGGGATGCTAAAAAGATAGCCAGTGCATGATGATCTATGCAATTCTCCTTCAGAAACATTTCCGAGGGCGGCTGGGTTCTTACCCAAGAAGATGCATCCTTCCCCGTGAACTCAATCCAAATTTCTTTAATACAAAGCACACTTCCAGGAGAGCATGGGTTCACTTTTTACCACCTCCCACCTGAAATATGAAGTGGCCCCAGGATTGTGTGAAACTTGGCCTCTGTCGGTGTGAAAACTGGCTGAAATCTGTATGAAAGGCAGTCTGGGTTTGTCAAAGCAGTTCATGAACTTTGGCCAGACTTTTAAGAAGCCTGGTCCAAGGCTAAGTTTGAAATGCAACAAGAAACCAGGTGAATTTCACATGGTTTCAGGTTTCGTCCTGGGGAAAAAAAAAAAAAAGTTGGCCTAGCTTTACAGTCAATCATCACTCTTTGGAACGATGAAAGCCAACACCCCTTTTTGAAAATGAGGACTGTGTACGCACTGATGACAGCTAAGCTGCGAACCACCCTTTAGTTCCCTTTGCCAAAGAAGATTGCTCGGGATGGCTACGGTTTTCCTCTTACCTGGAAAGGGCAAGTTGAGTGATTTTGATGTTGCGTGTAGAAAGAAGTGAGACCCAACACACGGAGACGCGCCATGTGAAATACACACCACAGACACAGCAAGTGGCTAAACTTGAATCATCTTAAGTTATGAGAGTCTCATTCGAATCCCCTCCTCGGCAGTAGATTTCATGTTCAATACACCTCCGCCATTAAGATGAGCTCTTAGCTAGAAGCTAGTTGTCAGCTAGGCTAACTTCCATGTCCAGTGAAATGCTCTGGGGCTTAATCACCACATCTATGTTAGGGAATGGCCAAAGAAGAGGCAGAAACACAAATCATAGCATCTAGAGTTTAGGAAACACCAAGAGATAACGAGATCACAAACCTTTCAAATTTGCCTCGGCTGCATCTTTTGCAATAAAATCTCTACTGCACTAGGAATGAACTCAAAAATTAACTAAGCACGGTGCATTTTCTAGAAGGATCTACATATTTTTTGTTTTCCGTCTGCAAGTTTTAAATGTACTTTTCCACTGTAAAACGAAAAGAAAAGGGGGTGGGGTGGGGAGACTCTTCAACCAAATCTTTGCTGTTGAGCATGGTGACATGAGAAAATTGAGAGGTATGTCTGAACGGAGTCACTACATCATTGGAACAGTATGTCTGAACATTCGCGTAATAAGGCACAGATGTGAAACAGAGGGCTTGGCACTACCAAGGTAACAACAAAGCATTCACCACTGTGCTAAAGTGGTTAAGGGAGCCACAACGGAGAAGAAAAGAAGATCCCACACCCCTCCCCCTTGAAAGGCTGAAGAATATTATGCCTTTTATCTGCTAAATATCTATTTTTTTAAAAAGTGTTATTCAAACTTATGAAGACTGAGAAATATAAAATGCATTAATATTTTCATCATCTATAATAAAATGTATTTATGCGATAGCGCATAAAGGTTAACTGCAGTAAAAAGGGCAAATTCCATAGAAATCCAAATGGCCTCTATAATTGCAAAATAATGCACACAACTCTGAAGGACCCAATAGCCATTGTACAGGTGGCTGTTGTTGAATTTAGACAAGATCCCAGCTCCTTAATCAGTGGGGTTACTTATTGTAACATGTTCCAGTTATAGGCACTAAGCTAAGTACCCCAAGAGGATATACACGTCCGATGTTTTTAAGGCTTTCTCCCTTACAAGCATAGTGGTACTGTTGCCAGCTCTTGCTCGGCCATGCAACACAAAGGCAGTTATGGAGCTGGCTACCCTCTCTCAGTAAGTTTTGCTCCCAAGGACAGGTCAAGTGCAACTTACCCGCGGTCCCTGGTCACCTTGTTCTCCCTGTAGAGCAGGAAGATGAGATGATAGCTTTAGGACAAAGTCTATGTGTGATGCTCATTTTTAAAGTTCACATGATATTTTAGTCATGCCAATAGGAGTTTCCACAAATGTGTGTCTCATACAATTTTTCTTACCTTATCACCTTTTGGACCAGGAGGACCCTGAAAAAAGAAAAAAGAAATTTTTTAATAGAAGAAAATTATCGAGCCTTGAATGCATCAGCTAGTGTCACAAGATACATTACATGTAGCACACAGATACTGTCAATGAGGCTTCTCAACTATAACTGTGAACATGGTGGATTTACTGTAGGGGTGAATGTGGTAATTAAGCATATGTGTGGACACATACAAGTAGTCCAGTGTGTAGGGGTGTAGTGACAACAAGGTCAGCAGTTCAAGCTCACCAGACACACTGAGGGAGAAAGATGAGGTTATCTCCTCCCATAAAGATATACAGCCCCTGTAAACCATTTACTCTGTCCTATAGGGTCATTTGAGTCAGAATTGTCTCCATAGTGAATGGTTTTTGGTATTTCTACATAGATGCATACATAGGCAAATACATGCTGCATGCTGAATAAATGATCACAAACTGAATATATCTATTTAAGCAGCACTCAGCTAAAGAAACCCGGAAGTCCGTTTTGACATTTTGTAATCATGACCTTGACCTCTGACACTGCAGGTTGGTTTGCCTGGCTTTGCAGTTTATAGATGGAACCACAAAGTATGTGGTTAGCTTCTTTTGCTCCATATGTGTAAATTTTAATCATAAATTTGCATGTAGTTGTAGAACGTTCACTCTTACTGTTTTATAATCGTCCATTGTGTAAAGACATAATGATTATTTATTCATCCCACTGTTAGTGGGTCTTGGCTATTAGTACAAACATTCCTACTATCAAGATCCTAGCACATGTCATTTCTTTAAAAATGTATACAACAAATGTCATTTCACTTCATTGAAAAATGCATGCTTTTCTGTTGGGAACATCTGAAGGAGAGGAATGGTTAGGGCAAGAATAAACCCAGTTTCAGAAGAGGCCGTCACAGAGTTTTTCAAAGTTGTAGCCGTTGATAGACCCACCTGTTGTGTATGAGAATGTCAGTTCTCCCATATTATTCCCATTTTTAAAATTTTTCATCTTAGAAATTCAAGTGGGTGTCAAGTAATTTCAACATGTAGTTCTAAATTACAGAGATGGTGATTAATTACGCCGAATAGTTTTTAAAAAACAAGTAGTCATTTATTTACTTTGATATGCTTTTTCATGAAATGTCTATTGAAATCTTTTTCTCTTTTTCTATTATCATGTTGATTTGCATGATCTTTAAAATATTTTATACTATGTATTATGCACACACACACAGAGGGGGAGAATTTGTGGTAATTGATATATTTTGGATATGAGTCTTTGTAAACATTTATTGGCACAAATCCACATATCATGTAATAGTTCAATAGTATCGAGTTGTATAATCATAACCACAGTCAAATTTAGAACATTTTCTTCTTCCTGTATTCATGGTTCTCAGCTCCCCTGTCACTCCTCCAAGAAACCATTAATCCAGTTACTGTGTCTACTGATTTACTCATCCCTGGATTTCATATGCAGAAAGGAAAACATTTAAAATACAAGAAACAAAGAAACAAGAAAGGTAACTTGTATTAGACACAATTACTGGAAAATCACTTCCCACCTGTGGCTGCCTTTTCATATTTTTATTGCTACTTTTGATATATACAAATTAATTTGGTAAAATTAAGTTTAATAAGCTCAGGGTTTTCCTCTCCTTAGAGGAATAGAATTTTGTATCCTACTTTAAAACCTTGTCTAATTCAAGGTCACAAAGGGGTTGCTTTGTGTTTATTCTACAAACAATACAGTTTACCTAATTTTTAATGATTTTTAAGACATTAAAATCATTTTATTGGTTGTTTTTATTTTGTTGTTGTTGAGAAAATAGAATAAAACATCAATCCGGCAGTTTCCACAAGTACCATGTAGTGACACCGATTGTGTTCTTCAAGTTGTACGAACATTCCTGCCCACCGCCCAGCGTTGCTCCTTCCTCTTAACACAAACTCACTGCCCTCTAAGCTTCCTATCAACTTGATGGCAATGAGATTGGTCTTACGAGCCCTGGTGATGTAATGGTTACACACTGAACGGCTACCAATATTGTCCGAAGTTCTAAACCTCCAGTGGTTCTTTGGGAGAAAGACAGGGCTTGCTACTCCTGTAACAGTTAAGTCTCTGAAACCCACAGGGGCAGTTCTGCCCTGTCCTACAGTGTCACCATGAGGTGATATCAACTAGACGGCAGTGAGTATAGATTTATACACATAGATATGCATATAAAGTACACAGATATACACATAAATGTGGGTCTTTTAGAAGTCTTTTTTTTTTTTTTTTGAACTCTTGGAGAGTTTGTCTATTCTTGAGCCACACTGCAATTTTTTTTCTTTTTTTGGCTTTGAACAAAAATGCCAGTAGAAAATGTTCATTCAACAGACATCAAAATCTACTTTTCTAGCTCTTAAAGATGGAGTTATGTTTTTTAATAGTCTGCTCACTTGCAGAACCAGAGCTTTCCTTCACCTCTTATCTGCATCCTTAGCGACCCGGGAGACAAAAGAGGTCTAGCCAGGAAGGAACGCCGGCCGGGGTCTTAGCAAATACGCTCTTCGTAGGCCCTGGTGGAGACCGCTGTGTCACGAAAGGCGAGAATTCTGCAAAGCTCTCCCACTGAAACATCTCCCTTGTCTCAGCAGAGCGGCTGGACCACATGCCCTCTCTCTCAGTCTGGAAGCTTCGGAGAAAGCCCTTCAGCACCATGGCAACACTCAAGCCTCCATGGAGAGATAAGGCATGGTTGTGCACAAGATGTACTGGCAGTCAAAGCTGGGTCTCCCAGGAAAGGTGAGAATTCTACCAGTGAACTAACAAGAGATGCTTCTCTTTAGAAACGCCAGAAAGAAACTCAAGAGCAGGCCTCTTGTAAGTGAGTGATCCAGAACATGAACGTGGTCCCCGTGTCTCAATGCAGTGAATTTGGACACAAAGTACCGGAACAGCACCAAAGCAGTAGACCCTCAGAAAGAGTGATGGCCATGGAACCAGTAGGTAAGGACATTTGTGAGGGTGGTGCAGGCCCAGGGGGACATTGTTCTGTTGTATACATGGTTGCGATGAAGTAGAGCTGACTCAAAGCACGTAACAACATGCATTCAGAGCCTGCCTTCAACAGGCACCTCCCCAAAGGCCTCACAGTGGCCTCTTCCTACAGCGTCACAGAAACACCCAGTATCTCAAGTGCAAAATGAGAGAAAAGGGAAACTGAAAAGGTTCAGGGGGAGGCCTAGAGGGCTGAGCTAATGGAATCAACTTGACAAAACCCCTTTTCTTTCTTACTTAAAAAAAAAACAACACTTTTGCCATGAAAAGGAACCTAAGAAAATTATTTTTCTAAAACTTCTCCATAAAATTTTTATTAATGTTTTAGTAAATCAAGCAGTGTATCGGGGGTATAGCTTGTGTGCTTATTTCAGTAAAATTAGGTTTAAGGAATTTATTTAGTCATTTTTGACACACCCCCATTTGACAAATGCTCACTGAGGCTAAGCAAGTAGGATTTTGTTTTCGGTGAAGGTAAGAAAACTGCAGGAAAAGACAAGAGGATCTATCTCTACCATCACTATTAAGAAACTCAATGGGGGTGGCGAGTCCTACTTTAAGTAGCATATTGTTTAAGTCTCTTGGTTTTTACATGTATTTGTTGACTGTCAGCAAAGGATTACTTGGGCGCTGGTGTAAAGTATGACAGGGGAAGCTGATTTAGAAAGACATCATTTCTGTCCCAGGAAAGCAGGGCATCTGGTGTCAGTCAAACACTTCCCAGAGACGGGCATTGAGAAAGATGACCCACAAAAAATCCCACTACTTTAAGTTCAGCTGTTACTGAATGGCCACCCTGTCCACCCCCACCCTGACCCCCACCGGCTAGTACAGCCCCTGTCCCCCCAAGGCTCCTCTTCTTTAAAGTTTTGTTTGCTTTTGCGGCTGGTGAGCTTATCGAGGCTAAGCCTACAGCCGCATCTGTCCTCTGAAGCATTTTGTTAGGTTACGTGGCACATTAGCCATCGAAGCTTTTCTGAAATTATTGAACAGTGTTGTAACTAGGAACAGAAACTCTCTTTCTTCAAATCAGCACCACCCATGTCCACAGCAGCTTTTCAGCCAGTCTGCCTAGACGCAAGGATGCTTAATTCATGAACACACGAAAATGTGCATTCACAACTGAGCAAGAAATATGGCTGCTTCAAAAGGGCTGTTGCTGGGCAGACAGAATGGCGTCTGGGCACCTGCCGGCTCAAGCCCGAACCCGAGCCAAGGTCCCCCCACTCACAGCTGTAGGCGCTCCTTCGGACACACAAACCCCACTTGTGCACGTGGGATTAGTGGCAGGTGTTTTCTGATGCTCTGATGGATGGCCCACGCTGTTTTCTAAATTGAACCTTCTCCACTACAGAGATGGGTTAAAGTTTAAGAAAAAGAGTGAGTGTCTTTGGTAAATACAGAGTATTTTAAATGTGGGGACCACAGTTCTTTTCTAAAAAAAAGGTTTCATAAAATATTTATTTGATTAGTAGCCCATACAAATGAAAGCTGGGTAATTACCTAAGTCCGTTATGTTGTCTTTAGAGTAAACACACATATACACAAAAATAATAATAACAAAAGCTAACAAATAGTCAACAATACAAATGAACAAAATCTTTGAAATCTTTGTTCAGCCTGATGGCGTTTTGTAGCTCCTGTATTTAGGACATGTTGTCAGGAGAGACTTGCTCCTGGAGAAGGACATCGTGCTTAGTAAAGTAGAGGGGCAGCTAAAAAGAGCAAGACCCTTAACAAGATAGATTGACATGGGGCTGCGACAAGGAGCTCACACATAGCAATGGCTGCTGAGGGTGGTGTGGGGCCGTGTTTCCTTATGTTGTATATAGGGCATCATCTCGATGGTGCTGAGCAACAACGACAACTGAACTAGACAAGCAATATAATACTCTGTGGATATATCTATTGCACATTTAATAATCGCAATGGCTGGTTGGTAACAATGTAAAGATTCAGCTTTGTTGTGAAAACAAA